CTATTCCAGTACCTTCATGACTACGTGAGCTTTGAGATTCTACACGATAAAAACGTTGGAATATATTTGGAAGTGCAGTTTCCGGAATACCAACACCTAATTAAAAATCAGTCATTCTATTTAGCGATAAGGAGAAATAGAGCTAACATGTAGAATATATTTATGGAAATTATGAATAGCAAAGAATATTGTCACCTGTATCTATTACTTCAAGAACAATCATTTTTTTTTTCATCTCTGTAGTCAATATATAAGCGAATTTTTACATATCCATTCCAAGTATGCTTTATCGCATTAGAACCTTTAGTCAAATAAAATATCTTAGTATAATAAACTTGCATGTTTTAATTAGTAGATAATGCAAAAATAATATTAACATATTTTTAGAAGATACTTACAAAGATTAAATACGATTGTTTCATACATATTATAATCTAAATAAACTCTATCACTAACGGCTTGATTAAATTCTTCAGGAATATCTATAATATAATCTAACCCTAATGTTTTGGCCATCTTTTCAAAATCTAAAACTAATTCTCGAGTAAATTCAGCTATATTAATTTCACGATAATTCACATTTGATTGATCGAATTCTATATTTGAAAACTGTAAAAAAAGTTAATAGTCTAATATAAAAGTTCTGAGAACCAATTAGGCCACTTCCTTAAATCTTCGATTAACACCACTTTTTAGAACTTCTACAACTAATCTATTACGTATGACTAATAGTGTTTTAAATAGCATATCTGGTATTAAAAAACTGTTTTTATATAATAACTCGGGTTTTTTTCGGTTTTGGTACAATTCACTGAAAATAAATCTGTAGCCAACACTAGCTATAAATTTGACTAACCCTAACCTTAATTCGGGCCTAAAATTGTTGTCGGGAAAAAGGGGAAAAGGTTGCCGGCGAAATTGAGTTTCTTGAAGCTAATTAGTTGGTTAACATCAATATTTTGGGAGCCTGTCAACGAAGTGACAGATCATTATTGGCGAGATCAGGTGGCTTTATTGTAGACCACATGTGCATTGTTTGTTGTTTTTAATTGATGTATAATATGTTCTCTTATGAATTAAGCTAAAAGAGCAAGTATTGGGGAATGGCGTGGAAGGAGTTAGGCGGTATACATATGATTTTTTATGAAGCGGAGGTGAATGGTTTATGTTGTTTTCAAGATATTTAAGGATTTTAAAGTGAATGTGGAGGGTTATCTTCTTTTGCTATCATTCCCCCATTTCCAATGACTATGAATTATAGATAGCTACATTAG